GTTTATTATGGTTCGGATGGTTCGGTTTTAATGCTGGGTCTGCATTCGGAGCTAATACACTTGCAGTTCAGGCTTTATCTACAACTACTTTGGCTTCTGCTACTGCTGCTATAAGCTGGGGGTTTATAGATAAAATTCGTGGAAAGAAATTATCTGCTACGGGGGTTTGTATCGGGGCGGTGGTTGGATTAGTAGCTATTACCCCCGCTGCGGGGTTTGTAACTATTCAACATGCTTTATTCATAGGTATTTTTGCTGCAGCTGTGAGCAATTATATGGTTCATCTGAGAACTAAAACTGATATTGATGATACTCTGGATGTTTTTCCTTGTCATGGAATTGGTGGTATTATCGGCATGATATTGACAGGAGTTTTTGCCTCTCATGATGTAAATCCAATTGTACCTATTGATGAGCAGGGTTTAATTTATGGTCAAACTACTTTGTTTTTTAAACATATAATTGCTACACTGGGAGTATCTATTTTTACATTTTTTGGTTCGTGGGCTTTGTTATATGTTGCAAATATGATTACACCATTAAGAGTTTCTGAAAAATATGAAGAAAAAGGATTAGATATCACTCAACACGGAGAATCTTTATAGATAAATATTTGATATTTTGTTTAATAAAAAGCGATTAATTTTGAATATTAATCGCTTTTTTTATTTTATTAATCTATCATTTAATATTAACGAAATATATTTTACTGTTCTACAAAATATTTTTATTGCCACAGATACACAGATTTCATCTGTTTGTAATTTTTTTTGCCTGATAGAACATTAAAATAATCATTTTACTGTGTGAATGTTATAGATGATTTTTTTTATTATTTATTAGTGATTATTCCAATGTATAAGGCATCAAATAATAAAATCTATTTTTTTTATCTTTATTTATTATTTGTTCATAAATTAAATAATTGCTTTTACCTAATTTTTCTTTTATTATTTTATCCGTTGAGGTATAATTTGTAATATTTTGAATGAATTTATCAAAAGATTTATCTTTTTTAGGGTATGTTACAATTTTAATGTCTTCATCTTTAATGTTAGCTTTTTTAGCAAGACCTGTTATAGCTTTATTTATTCCTCCAATTTCATCTACTAAACCGATTTCTTTTGCTTGATTACCCGTGTAAACTCTTCCTCCCCCGATGGCATCTATCTCTTGAAATGTTTTTTTTCTATTTGTCATTACTACGCCTACAAATTTTTTATAAATATTTTCAATAGTTTTCCCTAAAAGTGTATAACTCCCACTACTCAAACCCTGGAAAGGGGAGTAAAAGTTTGAATTAGCATTTGTTTGAACCACATCAGTAGTAAACCCATTATTATTTGCTAATTTTTTAATATTTGGAATCATGCCGAATACTCCTATTGAGCCTGTTAAAGTAGTAGGCTCGGAATAAATTTTTTCACCAGCCATAGAGATATAATAGCCTCCGGAAGCTGCATACTCGCCAAAAGAGACATAAAGAGGTTTTACTTTTTTTAATTCCATCAAAGCGTGGTAAATATCATCAGAAGCTGCAGCATCTCCTCCGGGAGAATTTACTCTCAATAAGACTGCTTTGATAGACTCATCATCTTTTATTTCTTGAATTATTGGAATATAACTTTCCGAAGTAATATCGGTAGTTTCACCGCTACTCATGATTGAGCCGCTTGCATTAATTATTGCTATTTTTTCGTCTCCGTTATATATAGGAGTGTAATCATAAATATATTTACCGATATAAGTTATATGTTTTTTTAGGTCTTCATCTTTTGATAAACCTAATTTTCTTTTAATAATATCGTCATAATTATCCTCATAGCAAAGTTTATCAACAACCTTATTGTTTTGTGCAAATTCTGCAATAAAAGCTGACAAACTATCTGTAATAATTTGTAATTCTGGATTAGATATTTTTCTAGAACTTGAAATATCATTTGCTACTTGAGTCCAAATACCATTAAGAACATCTGTAATCTGAGCTCTATTTTCCTCTGATAAATTATCTCTGATAAAGGGTTCAACCGCACCTTTAAAATCTCCGTGTCTTATAACCTCAACTCCTATACCATATTTATCTGTCATGTTTTTAAAAAATAATACTTCTTTTGAAAGCCCTGTTAATTCAATTCCACCATTTGGATTTAAATACAATGAATCAGCAACTGATGCTAAATAATAAGATCGCTGTGTCATCATATTACCATATGCTAAAACAAATTTTTTAGACTTTTTAAAATCTAAAATAGCATCTCGAATTTCTTTAATCTGAGACCATCCGGCATCTAAGTTGTCAACTTTTAAACTAATTCCTTTTATTCTATCATCATCTTTTGCAGACTTTAACATATTTAATATATCAAAATAAGTGATAGGTTGCTCCTCAGAAAAACTAAATAAAGTTTCTTCCTCTTCATTTACACTTTCTATTATTGCACTATTTAATTGTAATTCCAGAACACTATTATCATTTAAAGATTCCTTACTGAAAAATGAGGATATCATTGAAAAAATTAAAAACATCATTAATGTACCAAATATTAAACCATAAAATGCTATATTTCCGAGAAATGACGCTAAAACATTGCTAAAAAAATTTTTCATAATATTATACTTTCTTCAATAAGTCTTTTAAAAATTAATTTTGTTACTTTAATTATTATATATTTGCTATCTTTTCTAAAAAAATGACTTTAAAGGGTATTATTTTTCAAACCATAAAATTGGCTATTCCAGTAATGATAACTCAAGCTGGTACAATATTAGTGAATGTTGTTGATAATATAATGGTTGGAAATTTAGAGGGAGAAAAAGGTATTAATGCTTTGGGAGCAATTTCACTTGGTAATGCAATTTTTTTTTCTGGTTTAGTCTTATTAATAGGTTTTTCATTTTCTATGTCACCATTAATTGCTCAGGCAATAGTTCAAAATAAAACCCAAAGAGTTCAGTCTATATTATCTTCCGGAATAACAATAAATTTTATTTTAAGTATTATTGTATTTCTAAGTTTTTGGTTTTCAATAGATTTAATATATTTATTAGATCAACCACAAAAAATTATCCCAATTACTATATCATATTTAAAAATAAATTTAATTAGTTTATTTCCTTTTATTTTATTTCAATCTTTAAGGCAATTTTCTGAAGGTTTATCATTAACTATTCCTATTATGATTTCTGTAATATTATCAAATATATTAAATGTTATTTTTAATTATTTTCTAATATATGGAAATTTTGGGTTTCCAAGATTAGAAGTTGACGGAGCAGCATGGGCAACTTTTATTTCAAGAATATTTATGATGATTATTTTATTTGGTTTGTTATATAAAAATAAAAAATCTTCTTTTTTCATTAAACAAATAAATTGGTTTAGCATAAATAAATTAATAGCAAGAAGGATTATAAAATTAGGAATTCCATCATCTTTACAGTTATTTTTTGAAGTAACGGCATTTGCAATAGCTGCATTCATATGTGGAAAGACAGGACCAGACAACTTAGCAGCACATCAAATATCCATAACAATGGCATCTGTAACATTTATGCTTTGTACAGGTTTATCTGTTGCTGGAACTATAAGAGTAGGAAATCAATTTGGCTTAAAAAATTATAAAATCATGAAATTATCGGGTCAAGTTGCAATAGGATTAGCGGCTATTATTATGCTTTTTTCGGGTGTTATTATGATTATTTTTAGATCTTATTTACCAACATTTTTTAATGATAGCCCAAAAGTTATTTTTATAGCTTCAAATTTATTAATTATAGCTGCATTATTTCAATTATCAGATGGAATTCAGGTGGTTACAGTTGGCTGTTTAAGAGGACTACAGGATGTAAATATTCCAACAATAATATCTTTTATAGCCTATTATTTAATTACACTTCCATTAGGATATTATTTAGCAATTATAGAAAAACATAATGCTTTGGGTATGTGGATAGCATTAGGAATTGGTTTAACAATTTCCGCAATATGGCTTTATTCAAGATTTATTAAATTAACGAATAAATTAATATTAGATTAAAAACATCCTAAATTACTATACATTTCACTAATATTCATTTCAGCAATTGATAAAAATTTTGGAATAATATTTTTTTCTGTGAGCATTATTTTATCTTCATCGTCTAAATGGTTTAGCATATCATAATATTTTTTCTCGCCATGATGTTTAATAACATGTTCTTTTTTATCGTCTCTTAAAAAATATCTTCTCATCCCTTCCGCATCTGCTTCTGGGTGAAATTGTGTTCCGAAAATTTCTGGGGAAAATCTCATAGCCATAATGGCTCTTTCAAGTTTTATATGAGGTCGAATTTTCTCTAAGGCTAAAATCTTAGCACCAAATTCATTTATTTTTTTCCATTTAGGTTGTAAAATTTGGTATTCTCGGGAATCCACAGCATAGAAAGGTTCGGGTAATTCTGAAAATAAAACTTCTTCAAAGCCTTCTTCAATTTTATGTATAGGCATTACTCCAAATGATATTGAATTTCGTTTATTTAATTGGGCTAAATTCCAATAATAAACAGCTATTTGGAAAGAATGACATATCAAAAAGAGATATTTTTTATTGGTATTTTCTTGATTATAATGCAATATTTGATCTAAAAATAAATAATAATTATGCTCCCATTCGCTTCCATCAGGAAAAGGACTACCGGGACCTCCAGAAGATATAAAGATATCAAACTCATTAATATCAGGTATTTCATTTAATTCTCTTACATTAAATATACTATAAAAACTATCAGTATATTTAGATAAAAATTCTCCGACAATCATTTTTATACATCTCATTCCTTCATTTGCCACTCCATTATTCATATCCAAAATTGCTATTCTAATCATTATAAAATAAAATTTCTGACAAATATATATAATTAATTTTCATATTTAAAATGTAAAGATTAAATTTGCTGTTAAAAATTATTCAAAACAACAAATTAGAAATGGTAAATATTATTCTATTTGGTCCTCCTGGTAGTGGTAAAGGGACACAGGCTGAAAAATTAGCTGAAAAATTCGAATTAATGCATGTATCAACAGGTGATTTATTTCGATATAATTTAGGAAATAATACAGAATTAGGAATTTTAGCCAAATCTTTTATGGATAAAGGTCAATTGGTCCCCGATGAAGTAACTTCCGATATGTTAAAAGATCATTTATTAAAAAATAAAGATCAAAAGGGTTTTATTTTAGATGGTTATCCAAGAACAATTAAACAGGCTGAAACATTAGATTTAATGTTGAAAGAGTTATTTAATGCAGAAGTAACTACAACTTTATCATTAGTTGTTGAGGATAACATATTAATAAATAGATTATTAGAAAGAGGAAAAACAAGCGGGCGGAGTGATGACTCAAACAAAGACGTAATCGAGAGTAGATTAAAAGAATATTACAAACAAACTCAGCCAGTTTCTGATTATTATAAAGCAAATAATAAATTAGTAGAAATAAACGGGGTGGGTGATATAAAAGAAATAACTGATACATTATCAAATGAAATAAAACCCTTTGTTTAATGAACTCACAAAGACAACAAAAAGTATCCAAACTTTTATATGAGGAATTATCTGTTATATTACCGAGAATTAATAAAAATATTAATAATTTAATAACTATTACAGGGGCAAAAGTTTCTCCTGATTTATCATTAGCGAAAATTTATATAAGTGTTTTCCCAAAAGAAAATAGGCAAGTTGTTTTTAAAGATATTGAAAAATCAAAACCACAGATTCGATTAGAAATAGGAAATAGTTTAAAAAATCAATTAAGAATAATCCCAGATTTAAGGTTCTATTTAGATGAATCTATTGATAATGTTGAGCTAATAGAAAAAGAACTTAAAGGAGAAGGAAACAATCCGAAATTATAGATATTATTTTGAAAAAATTTATTAATCTTATTTGGGTATTAAAAATATATGGATTAGCTTTATTGATATTTTTTTGTTTCAGGCTAATCCTCTTTATTTACGAAATAAACCGGATAGACTTTAATGAAACTAACTAAAACAGGTTTATTTATCTATATTCTTAAAAAAATATTTAAGTCTTTTAATCAATCTACTTACCAAATACCTCCAAAATTAATTTGGAGAATAGCAACCATTTTATTTTTAGGTATTATGATATACGGTATCCGAGGTAGAGTAGGTCAATCGCCCATTAAAATCGGGACAGCTTATTTTTGTGATAATCCTTTCTTAAATCAATTGGGTTTAAATCCTAATTTCACTTTACTGTATTCTTATATTGAAAGCATAAAAGAAAGCAACAAATCAATAAGACTAATGGATGATAAACAGGCAATTATAAATACGCAAAAATATCTTAATAGACATTCAAAATATCCAGAATACCCTTTATATTCAGAAATAATTCCAGATACTATTTCGTCAAACAAACCAAATATTGTGATTATTTTAATGGAAAGTATGTCCGCTTCATTTTTAAAAAGACATGGGAATAAAAATGAAGAAACACCTTTTCTTGATAGTTTGACTTATAAGAGCATATATTTTGAAAATCTTTATTCATCGGGTATTCATACTTATACAGGAGTTTACTCAACAGCCTCTTCATTTATTCCTGTTTTTAATAAACATACTATGAAATTGATAACTAAATATAATGGAATTGCTTATAACCTGAAAAAAAACGGATATTCTACCGTTTTTTTTACTACTCATGATAGCCAATTTGATAATATGGAAGGATTTATGAGAGAAAATGATTATGACAAAGTATATTCAGAGAGTGATTACCCAGCAAAAGAAATAAAAACAATTAATGGGGTGCCAGATGATTATTTATTTAATTATACAATGCCGATTTTAGATAATTATGCAAAAAGCAAAAAACCTTTTTTTGTAACAATTTTAACAACAAGTAATCATGGTCCTTATTATATCCCCCCATATTTTAAACCAAAAAATAGCGATATTGCAATCCAAGGAGTTGAGTTTGCGGATTGGTCTATGAGGCAATTTATAAATAATGTTTCTAAAAAAGAATGGTTTAAAAATACAATTTTTGTATTTATGGCTGATCATGGCTTTCCAAGAACAGCAGATTACGATATATCCTTAGATTATGTACATATACCATTATTGTTTTACTCACCATATTTAATAAAAGAACATAAAACATATTCACAAATAGGAAGCCAAGTAGATGCTTTTCCTACTCTTTTCGGATTATTAAAATTACCATATATAAATAATTCATTTGGAATAGATTTGTTAAACCAAAAAAGAGAATATGCAGTATTAAATTCAGATGATAAAATTGGAGCAATAAATAATGAGTTTTTATTCATAATAAACGGTGATAAAAAACAATTATTTAAATATAAAAATAAGGATAAATTTGATTATCACAATAAAGAAAAAATGAGAGCAGCTGAAATGGAAAATTATCTTAAATCACAGGTTCAAGCAGCTGATTATCTTATTAGAAAGAATAAAACATATAAGCCTTAGTATTTTTCAATAACATCTTCTAAGGGTTTGATACGAAATAACATTTACATATAGTTAAATAAAACATCCATGATAATAATTACTCACACACAGGAGAATGATTATTTGCGTTCTATCTGGCAAAAAAATAAAATATAAACAGATGAAAAATATTTTCACCATAACTTTTATATAAAAAATATTATATAAAAAAAAATTGTAATTTTGCCGACTTAAATTTAAAAATATTAATAGATGAAAAAAGTATTATTAATAATATTGAGTATTTTAATGGTCAATATATTTTACGCACAAGAAGATACTATTGCTGTAACAGAAGAAGAAGTAACGGTTTTAGGAACTCGTAACAAAAATCGCTCTGTTATAGAGTCAACTGTGCCTATCGATGTAATTGATGTAAATGTAGTAAGTGATGCAACTGGTCAAGTTGAAATTAATCAATTGCTTCAGTTTGCGGCACCATCATTTAATTCAAATAAACAATCTGGCTCTGATGGTGCTGACCATATAGACCCTGCAACTTTAAGGGGTTTAGGTCCTGACCAAACTCTTGTGTTAATTAACGGAAAAAGAAGACACCAAACTTCATTAGTTAACCTTTTCGGAACAAGAGGTAGAGGAAATTCAGGAACTGATTTAAATGCTATCCCACTTGGAGCAATTGATAAATTAGAAATTCTAAGAGACGGTGCTGCTGCTCAATACGGTTCTGATGCTATTGCAGGGGTTATAAACATCGGTTTGAAAAAATCAGTTGGAGTTTTTACAGGAGATTTATATTATGGAGCAAATTTATTTCATTCAGGAGAAGGTTATCATTTAATTAATGATGATAAAACATTGGATGGGAATACTTTTGCTTTCTCAGGAAATTATGGAGCTAAGCTCGGAGAAAAAGGAGGTTTTATTAATGTTACCTTAGAGTTTGTTGATAAACAAGGGGCTATCAGAACAGGAGATCCAGCATTTTGGACTGAAATATATAGAGATAAATATGGAGATGCTGCTTCTCGCTCTTTTCAAGCTTTCTATAATGCAGAAGTTCCAATTAGTGAAAAAACTAAATTTTATTCTTTCGGAGGTTTAAGTTTTAAAGACACAAACGCTTATGCTTGGACAAGAACTGCTGATAGTGAAAGAAACGTTCTTTCAATATATCCTAATGGTTTCAATCCAAATATAAATTCTTTAATCTTTGATTATTCTACTGCTCTCGGAGTAAAAGGTAAAATCGGAGAATGGGACTGGGATTTAAGTAATGTTTTCGGAAATAATAAATTCCATTATAGAATTACAAAAACCCTTAATGCTTCTTTGGAAGGGAAATCTCCAACAAAATTTGACGCTGGAGGGCATCAGTTATTTCAAAATACTTCAAATATTGATTTTTCAAGAAATTTTGATATAATGTCAGGATTAAACATAGCTTTTGGAGGAGAATTAAGATATGAAAAATTTGATGAGTTTGCTGGTGAAGAAGCTTCTTATGCTACTTATGATAAATTTGGAAAAGTTGTAACTGCTGCTACTCCTTCTTCAAATTTAGTTTATTTTACTGATGCAGATGGAAATCAAGTATTAAGACCAGGTGGTTCACAAGGTTTTCCAGGTTATTCTCCTGCAAATGATATTAATAAAGATAGAAGAAGTTTAGCAGGTTATCTTGATGTAGAACTTGACCCAACAGATTGGTTAACATTCGCCTTAGCTGGAAGATTTGAAAATTATAATGACTTCGGCTCAACTTTTAATTGGAAAGGAGCTGTAAGAGCAGAGATTATTAAAGGATTTTCCTTTAGAGGTTCTTACTCTACAGGATTTAGAGCACCTTCATTAGCTCAAAAATATTATAATACTATATTTACAAACTTTGACGGTGGCACTCCCGTGGAAATAGTTTTAGCTGCTAATGAAAGTACTATTACAAATGCAATTGGTGTACCTCCATTAAAAGAAGAAAAATCAAATAATGCAAGTGCAGGTTTTACTTTTAACAATAGTGGTTTTTCATTCACCGCAGATGGTTATTATGTAAAAGTTAAAGATAGAATAGTTCTTACAGGAGAATTTGGTGATGATGACGATGTTATTGGACAAACTCTTCAAAATATGAATGTAGGGCAAGCTAAATTCTTTACTAATGCAATTGACACTAAAACGTTTGGTCTTGATGTTATTCTTTCATATACTAAAACCTTTGGGAATTTTAAAGTTAATACAGCCTTAGCGATTAACTGGAATGATATGCAAGTTACAGATGTATATACATCAGATTTATTGAAAGGAAAAGAAGAAAACTATTTCAATAAAAGAGAAGAATATTTTGTTCTTGCTTCTGCACCGAAAAGTAAAATTAATTTTAACTTAAATGTTAAAAGATCTTGGTTTGGTGTTAATCTTCAATTAGTAAGATTTGAGGGGCTTAAATTAATAGGATATGATGATGAAAAAGATATATATAAAGCGAAAGTAACTACTGATTTATCATTTAGTTTTGATTTAAATAAAAACTTAACACTTTTTGTAGGAAGTAAAAACTTATTTAACAGATACCCTACAGTTCAAGACCCAGCAAATACTGAAACTGGTGGTATTTTTGACCCCGTTCAAATGGGCTTTGCAGGAAGACAATTATTTTCAAGAATTTCATTCAATTTTTAATTTCTAATTAGTACTTTAGTTAATAATAACTCCAAATTTTAATAAATTTGGAGTTTTTTATTTGTTGTAAATATTATAGTGTACATTTTCAAATTATCGTTTTTGTATTCTTATTAGTAAAACTCTGTGTCTTCTTAGTAAAACTCTGTGTCCAGCTCATTAGAGTAATTTCAATTCTTTTTGAAGGTATTTTCAATAAATTATTTTTAAACCACATAGTCAAATTGTTTTTCTATGTGACTATGTGGTGTTTACTAAATATCAGTACCAGTTAAAATAAATGAAGTGGAAAACTCGGATAGTACATACAAAATTTAATTCATTTGTTCTAATGTACATTTTGGGTTTATTATATTTTAAAATTAATGTAGTCTATTGTTGCTTCTTGATTAGAAATTATTTTAGCTGGGTTTCCAGTAATTATTGAATTATCTGGAACATCATCAATAACTAATGTATTTGGAGCTATTAAAACATTATTTCCTATATTTATATTTCCTACAATTACTGCATTTGTACCGACCCAAACTTCATTTCCTAAAGTAGGAATTCCTTTTTTCACTCCTCTATTTGTTTGACCAATAGTTACTCCATGAGCAATATTACAATTTTTTCCAATTTCTGCACCAGGGTTTATAACTATTGTTCCCCAATGACCTATATATAGACCTGCCCCAATTTTTGTTTTGGGAGAAATTTGTATTCCGTATAAAATTTGATAGTGTCTT